AACCATTATACCCTGATTTCCCATTTTCAATGGGTTCAGGGTATAAAAAATATATATATTTGATTGTAAATAAATTGGTTTGGAGCTTTAGTACAATATGTAATCATGCGAATAGATTAACATAGCTTTATATTAAATTACACATATACATATATATATAATTTATATTAAATAATATGAATTTATATATGGTAAAAAAGGAAGCCTTTTTTATATAAATAATTATAAATAAATTATAAATATAATTAATTATAAATAATTCGCTGTTTATATGCAAAAGTGCAGTCTATAGGGCTTAATCTCTACAATATATATTAAAAATATTCTCTTTCTTAAGTCTTTTATATTCTATATCTCAATCAATAAAATTATCCTCCTAGAATTCTCTTTGAATAATGCAAATTATAGAGTTCTATACGGTATTTCTATTCGAAAATTTGCAGGAAATATATTGAATAAATCGATCTTCCCTTTATAATTTTGCCTTTTAAGTGTCCTTCATGAGCGCATTTGAAAAACTCTGTATTAAATACAATTCAAGAGAGAAATATTCCTGATATATTTAGAGAGAAAAGGGATTACTATTTGCTAAGCCATTTCTCCCTCAGATAAATTAATACAAATATTTCGATTTTTGTTAAAATGTGAAAATATATTTTTTATTATTTTTGCAAGGGAAATTAAATAAGTTAACACAAAAGTCAGTTCGGTGCTTCATCATGCGCGTGTGCTCGTGTGTGTGTGGGTGTGTGTGTGCATTGTATTGTCCTAAGTACATCGGTGTGTTTTCGTGTCTGATTGAGTGATTGAGGAATTGGCTGTTTAGCCCCTCAGTGGGCCCGAGCGCCTTCTGACGGTGCGACGGACTCCAGCACGGTTTCTGCGGCCAGCACGACGACGACGACCACCACGACGACGGCGGTTGCTCCTGTTGCGACGGTTGCCACCTCGCCTGCGGATCACACGCCTGGCACGGCCATCCTCGTTGCTGGGCTGAGCAACAGTTTGCTTTGGCTTAGAGTCGACGGCGGCGCTGCGATGCTCGTTGGACTGCGCCGCGATTGAGCCCGCCTTTTCGCTATCCTCCTCCTGATCGGCCTCCTCTTCGATTTGCTGCTCGTCCCCCTCTTGGTTGTCCACATCGGTCGACTTGATCTCATCCGCCTGTTCGATGGGCGTGCGTGTCAGGCCGTTGCGTCGCTGAGCAGCTGCCTCAGTTGTGGCCGCCAGGCAGCAGAGGGCTGCCAGGGCAAAGATCAATGCGAACTTGTTTGACATGCTTGTGCTAGAACACCGGAAATGTTTGTGATGATCTGTCGCCGCATCAACTGGCTTTTATAGTGCCTCCCATGCTTGCGCCAACCCATCTGCCGCCAAACTGTACAAATGTTTGTCCACCGTGCCAGCGAAGTTCTGCCAGCTGTATTTGTTGCGGGCCGACAGCAGACGAAGCGAAGCTAGTTGGCTATTAATTCGATCTTTGTTTGTTGTTTGCCTCCTCCACAGCTGCCAGATACTTAAGCTCTTGGCTTTGCGCTGCACCGCACCGCCTCACTCCCTGGTTCAATGCATGCCATGCCATGCCATGCTACCAGATAATTGGTTTCCCTCGCCACCAGCTCCAAACACGCTAACCCCCCCTTGGCCAGAGGGAAATGCCATTAAAAATAATACTTAGAAAAAATGTAACGTAAATAATCGAATTGTGCACAAAAGAGTTTTTAGTTACACATTTCCGTACTTTTCTGCTCCATATACATATATTTTGGCGGGTTTCTATGAAATCTCTGAAAGATAGAGAAATCGTTGCAGAGTTAGTGGGATCGATATGCAATATGTGAGCAAAATTAAATTAGATCAATATTTTACATTTCTTTAGATATTTTTATAAATAGCTTATATATAGTTTATACAGTTTTTTGGTGAAAGACTTCTTAATATTTGTCTCTTTGGACAATGGTTAAATTTGGACACAAGAATAATATACGTGGCATTAAAAAAAAGTCAAAGTGAAAATAAATAAAATATTTTTATAAAAATAAACTTCTTTTGAATACAAATTAATACAATTACGTTTTCGATTACAACTTTTAATATTAATTTTTCTTCCATTTTAAAAAGTAGAATATTAAAATAAAATTCAATATAATTATTTTTGTATTACTATTTTTAATATTTTTTTTTTTTATTGAAAAAAAAAATGCCAATGAAGTAATTATCTTTTATTATTTTTTTTAAATCATTTTTCTACATATGAATAAATAATATTAAATATTTTTAGAATATTTGCAAAAAAAAAAAAAAAAAAAAATTATATTTTTGAAAATATGTTTAATAAATTTATTATGATTTTTATCACTCTTTCTTTACTAATTTATTTTTTATATATAACAAATACGTTTGGAAAAAAATAATTGAGTACTCTCAATATAGACTTTTCACTATCGAAATCGTGTGTAAAATTTAATTTTGATGTAAAATAAAATTTAAAATCTCTTTAAACTTCGAAAAACCATTCTACTATCCATTTCATTGTGCAGGGTTATTGTTTACTAATATTTTGTACATCTGGGAGCAAACTGAAATTGGTCTTCGGCTAACAAAAGGAAAGAAAATCGTTTTTCTTTCTCGTTTATCCGTTTTGCTGGCGATGCTTTGTGTGCGTTTTACAGATCGGAGCGAGCGTCTATTAAAAATTGCAGAGTAAACAGCTTGCAGCGATTTACAAATAATGAATTACAAATTGGCGGCAGGAGCAGCAGAATATGCTGGATATGCATCGGCGGACTTGTGCGCAGCAAAATGTTGAAAATGCACTAGAAAAACTGAAATTTGTATTTGCTTTTGTTTGTTTTGATTTGTTTTTGTTTTCTTTTTTTTTTTTTGTTTTATTTGGCTCGTTGCCAGCAATCAACCATATTTATTGCGCTTAAGCGCGTTGCCAATAATTTCTGCTTTGGCAGCTGTGAGGCGAGGCAGGAGCGGAGCATTTGGAGCCCGTTGTGGCACGTGCAGCAGGCGGAAATCACGTGGCTGGCATTTGTTGAAATGATTTAGGACAGTTTATTATTTAGCCAAAGCAGCTGCCAGCTATGTGTGTAGTTTGTCTTCTTCTTTTCCTTTTTAAGTCGGCTGTGGGAGCTTTCCATTTTTTCGTTTTTTTTTTATTAACTTGGGCTGGCAGCTGTCCTTTACTTCTGTCTGCTTCATCGGGCAAATGTTATTTAATACGCTGGCATTGTTATTTTTACACTCGGTTCGATCCCTTGAGTGTGAAAACTAATTAAAAAAGCGTTTAATTAAAATTTATCGACTACAAAAGAAGCTCGCACGTGGTTTTCATTCGGAACACAAAAGGTGGTAAAAATTGATTGAAATTCAAGCATAAATATATCATATATCTCTTTTATTTTTCTTTAGGTTTCCTTTAAATGAGGTTTCCTTTCTTCAAATAAGCAGAGCTTGGGAATAAATTCAATTATGAATAGTTACTCCTTCGATTTCTTCAATTGCATTACCTCTAGATGCTTGCGATTTTCAATAGAAGTAGTTTATATATATATACTTTCTTTTTCAGCTATTTAATCTTTTCTCTTGTTTGCCTTATCACTTCTACAATAGTAGACTTTTATTGAAATCAAAGCTGGCGCTGCTTTGAAGCGTCAGTTTGATTCCTCACGCCGAAAATTCTGTACACCACACTTCCTAACTACAATTGCAAAATTCACATATATATTTTCCACATATATTAACATATTTGTATATATAAAAAATATATATACACACATAACTGCGTATATAATTCGTAATATTTCAAATACAGCAACAATCCGCTAAGATGTCCATTGAGAACGAGCAGAGGGCCGAGAGTAGTGAGACAATCGCCAGCATTCCCACACTTTCGCCATCCGAAATACCACATAGAAACATGGCCATATCGTACTATTGCGATACGGATGACGAGATGTCAAATGTGCCCAATCCGAGCGGCTCCATCGAGGGCGATCCGAGCGAGCTGGATGAATTTCGCTGCATCGTGTGCAGGACGCTGCCCTACACAACGCTCTATCAATGCCAATACGAGCACATCATCTGTGCGGGCTGCTATCAGATGCGCGTGCTGGACAAGATGCTGGGCGCGCAGCTGGGCACCTGTCCACAGTGCAACGTGCGCATCTATCGGCACGAGGCCGAGCGCAACCTGCATGGCGAGCGTCGGCTGGCCGAGGTGCTGGTCGCCTGCGAGGCGTGTGGCTTCAGCTTGCAGCGCGCTTTCCTGCGCATGCACTGCCAGACGGACTGTCCTCTGCGGCTGGTGGCGTGCAAGTACCGGCGCATCGGCTGCAAGTGGAAGGGCGTGCTGGGCGCGGCTGCCGCCGAGCATGAGCAGGAGTGTGAGTATCGGAGCAAGCGGGGAGTGCAGCTGCTGGAGGAGCTGCAGCAGCTGCAAGCGGAGCGCGACTCCAAGCAGTGCTTGCTGGGCAAGATAATGAAGCTTCTGCAATTGCCGCATATCACAGTGCGGCTGCTGCAGCTGCTGCCACACACGGAGGGCTTTCCGCGCAACGCTTTCAAGATCTGCAGCTTCTTCGCTGCCTTCAGCCAGAGGTGGTCCATTCAGCTCAAGTGGCAGACGCCCGATGGCGTCGAGGAGCCGGCCGATCAGCAGAGCTGCACATGCAGTCTGCTCTTCCAGCTCCGCCTCGAATCGCCGAGCACCTGTCGCGGCGCCCTGGGCCTCACCTACACCCTGGTCAGCGGCACCTACTCGGAGGTGCGTTTCCAGCCAAATCTGTGCGAGAAGTGTGAATTCACGCGGGATAATGTCTGCGGCCCCCTGACCCTAATCTACAAGAGCTCTTGGCCGAATTGCGCAAAGCTTCTGAACGAACGTGGTTTCTACGCTCGCCTGCTAATGGCTCGTATATGATATTTTAATACATGCACACAGTTTTATTTGTATACACGACAGAACACTTCATTTACTACAACATTTCCTTTATTTGTATGTGTGCGTATCCTTATGAGAGTAAACAGGTTTTGAGCTCCATATATTGATTTTTAATGTAATTTATTTATGTTTTTTTTTCAAGACTATCGACAATCTAGGGAGGCATTCAGGCAGTTGAACTGATATGGCTCAGTTCATATTCGGGCAAGAGAGAGTTTAGACTTATTGCCACTAAATTATATAAGATGTATTACTTCACAAGAACCCAACACAGTGCCCCTAACCAGTATTACTCTAGTGTGGAAGTGCTTTACCGTAATATATGCTAATTTATCCACAAATAACAACTCTGATTAAAGAAAATAAACAAAAAATCCAGTTTGACCGAATCACAGTCGCTATATATTTTATTCAACTATATCAAACAGCTTGCTGGTTATTCAAGTTGCCTTTCTAACGATATGATCGTACAGCACTACCATTCCATACAATGGCGACAATATCTCTGTGCGCTTCACATTTTCCTTGAAGGCGCCGTCTCCAACAGTGACTGGAATGAATTTGAGGTCGCCCTTGTATTTGAATAGCAACGAAATGCCCATGTGCATGACGTCATAGTTGCTGGTGTTATTGAAGAAGACGCTGCCGCTGTGCCAGTCATAGAAGCTCAAGTCGGAGTGTTTCGGTCGCAACAGAATGCGGCCCTCGAACACGGCCTGCCAGTTGGTGCAGCCAATCATTTGAAGGCTGTTTAGCCGCAAGCTGTCCTCATAGTCTATGTAGCCCGATATATCAAAGCCGGTACGCTGTCGCAGCTGTAGAAATATTATTGTCTGACAAAATATTCCGATTGGCAGTATATTATTAGGATGATAATTAGAAATGCAGCTTTTATCATCTTTACCGATAATTTCTTCTGCATATTACTCGCCTCTCGTTCCGCCAGCGCACAAATTGCCGGATCCCTGCTTGTCATATAGGAGGAAAACAGAACGAAGTGTTGCGAAACCGGATTGATTTGATCAAGCAGTTTTTTTTTCATCTCATAAAATTCGTCTTCTTCGTAAATTGTGGCATTTGTGTGATAGCCGAGCCTAATCACCTGCTTTATAAGTTTAGCGTTTCTCAAATACTTTTTCGCGTCACTCCTCGTACTTGAGTTCAGGTATTCGTCGTAGGTACTGAAATTCAATAGTCTATAATCAGCGGTGGGTGGCATTATTTTTTTTTTTTTTTTATTATTATTATTATTTTATTATTATTATTATTATTATTATTATTATTATTATTATTATTATTATTATTATTTTTTTTTTTTTTTTTTTTTTTTTTTTTTTTTTTTTTTTTTTTTTTTTTTTTTTGTTTTTTTTTTTTTTTTTTTTTTTTTTTTTTTTTTTTTTTTTTTTTGTCTGTATTTTGTATGTGTTTTTGTTGTGTCTGTGTGTTTGTGTCTGTTCAGTAGTTAGTGTGGAACTGAACTTGGTTCACTTCATTTCCCTTAAGTTAAATCTAGCCTACTGTATTCAATATAATTACAAATTTATTTATTTATTTTTTTTTTATTATTATTATTTTTATTTTATCATTGTGATGAATAAATTTTATTGTATCATTATCATTATTCCGGGGTATTAAAGTATTTCCTGAAAGAATTTCATCTAAGTATTTCGTTAATCATTGTCTAAAAGTATTTCTTCTAAGGATGTATTCCTAGTATTTTTTCTAAGTTGCTCTTCTGAGTGTTTCTTCAAAGCATTTCCTCAAAGTATTTCCTCCAAATGGTTATTGCTTAGCTTAACTATCACATACTTCACTTACGACTGCCCCCTGTAGCTACTGCTCCTTATATAGAAAGACTTTCCCTCAAACAGTAAGCCACGCTCAAATGTTGAACTCGGATCTTTAAGTCAAAAAATGGGAACACTCTCATTCTAGCCTAGTTAGATATGTTTTAATAAATAAACATTCAATATTGTATTATAATGTAAAGTGTTGTTTTGTTTATTACTTTAGCTCTCTAGTGCCGACAACATTTTGATGATTTTAATGCTTATATCATACAGCTCATAATTTTAAATCATAAAATGTTGCACACGTTTGATTCAGTTCCCTGAAGTTGAGACTAAAAATCCTTGTTCTCAATCCAATCCAATCCAATCAATGAAAATATTAATCCTGCGGCAATGACCTAGAAATCGAATGCCTTTCCATTTCTTAAACAGTTTTTAGGATGCCTTTCGAACAACATGATCGTAGAGTATGACACAGCCGTATATGGGCGACATATAGAGTGAGCGTTTCACATTCTCCTTGTACAAGTTGTCCGCCACGGTAACGGGAACAAACTTGTGATCGCCCTTGTGCTTGAACATCAGCGAGGTGCCGTAATGGATGATCTCATAGTTGCCGCTATGATTGATACTTATTTTACCGCTATGCCAGTCATAGAAGCTTAAATGACCTGGATTCGGTCGCAGCATAACCCGACCCTCAAATATGCCCCTCCAGTTGAGCGCGCCAAGCTTATGCTGAGCACAGGCGCTCAGGCTATCTTCATAGTCTATATAACCGGATATATCGAAACCGCTGCGTTGCCGCAATTGCAGTAATATAATGGTCTGCCGTGAAGATATGAAATATTATCAATTTAATTAATATTTATCAATTCAACAGAAATCCAAAAGGGCTTACCGATAACTTTTTCTGCATATTGGGCTCCTCGCGTATCGCCAACGCAACTAATGCTGGATCCGTGCTCTTCAGGTGATGGCTGAACAATGTTGTTGTTGTCGACTTTGGATTGAGCAGAAGGAGTAAGTTCTTCTGTTGCTCATAGAATTCAGCCTCCTCATATATGGTCGTATTTGTGCGATAGCCGAGCTTAACTAGCGCATTTATCATCTTTTTACTGCTCAAGTATCGATACTCATCCATCCTGGTAAATGATCCAAGATATTCCTCGTAGGTTTTGAATTTGAGTACATTAAAATCACCGCGTATCGCCATGGTATCTGTGTATATGTTCTTGTATCTATATGTATCGATGAGTATCTATGAGTATCTATGTAAATGTATCTGTAGGGATATGTAATTAAATATATTTTCTTGTATCTGTATGTATCGATGAGTATCTAACTATATATGTTCTTGTATGTGTATGTATCGATGAGTATCTATGTAAATGTATCTGTAAGTATCAATGTGTATCTAACTATATACAAGAACATGTATCTGTATGTATCGATGAGTATTTATATGTATTTGTTGTCGTTTCTCTTTGTTTTTGTATCGTGTTTCGTGTTTTGAGTTGTAGTTTGTGTAATTATGTTACATTTGTTGTTCAGTCTATTTATGTTTTTGTATGAATGTTTATGTATTAGAGTTACAAGTGTTCAATAGTTTGTGAAGCTGAGCCTACTCGAGTCATTAAAACTTACTATTAACACAGCATTTTGCTTAGAGTTGCATACATATATATCTAATTTCAATATTAAAATCTTAAGATTCAAAGATTATTAATTTTTGTAGTGTTAACCAAGCCAATTTAAGAGTTTTATTCGTATAGAAATTTATGATTTTATAAATGTGTAAGCATTTAATTAAATATGCATATCAATCAATGAAAATGAATTGATAAAAGTACTTGAATATATTTAAATTCACAATTACCTTTTTATTTATTTTTTTTTTTTTTGAATTTTATGCAATATATTTATTATAAAATAATATATTTATTTAAAAAAAAATTAAAAAAAATAATTCAATTTATTTATTGTTATTCATTCATTTATTTATATTTATTTTGTATATACCTATGATTTTTAACATATTTTTATTTTTATTTTATATTTTTTAATTTAAATATTTTAATAAATATTTTTATAACAGTTTAAAAAATGTCAGCATTTCAAAATATATTTATTAGCATTACCTATTTAATTCGGATACCTATTTAAAGCATAGCATATATGTACACACGCACACATACTCAGTCACACATCATATGAAACCGGCTAGGGCACAGTGCCTGTCTCTAAGTAAGTCAACACTCTGGTACAAATGATGCTCGCTTTTGCCTGGCAGCATAAATTACGCGCATAAAATGAACATTAGATTCATATTTTAATGCGCACACAGCCACACACACAAACACACACACACGCATGCAAACCGTAGACTCATATGCCATAAACAAAAGCAGGTTAACTGTAGCCCAACTCCTGGCAATGCGATAGCTACAAACACAAAAACAACAAAAAAAAAAAAGTAAGAAGGGCACACACATACACTCACCCATACACGTCTGGCTTATTTCCATTACAAATGAGCTTATTATGCGCCCGAGTCAGAAAGTCATTGCGACTTAAAAGGATTTGCATGTGATTAGCAGCTCGAAATGTAAACAAAATTCTTACACCAAAAGACAAAAGCCAACGGAAAATAACGGGTTTTTCAATTTTGTAATTAAGCGCCAATTAAATGCCCTCACTCTAAAGACATTTTTTAATAACATTAAATTATTTAAAACAAATTTTCTAAGCGACAAAAACACATAAAGAAAGTTAATTTGATTTGGAAAAAAATGGTAAATTATTATTCTTATTTTGAAATATATCTTAAAAGTTTAATTTTTTATATTTTTTTATTGAATGCTATTATTATTAAAATATGTAAGCATTCAGTAATAAATAAAAAATAATAATTATTAAATAAAAATAATAAATAAAATAATAAACAAAATACAAAAAATATAAGAATGAAGAAAATAAATATTTATTATTATTTTTTTTTTTATATATATTTTTTATTTTATACATATATATTTTGTTATTGTTTTTCTTTTTTAAGCGTTACATAATCGTTGATGTTGTTGAGATAACCTCTCTTAGTTAGTTCCCATCCAATGACGATTTGTAAGCACTCGAGAAGTTGAGTTGAATACTTAACGCACACACTGTGTGTAATTGTATGAGTGTGTGTGTGTGAGTGTTTATTGTTGTGTGCTTGTAGGCACTTGCTATTTGTGTTCGCAATGCGTATTTGGCAAATTGCCTTTTGGCAAGGGAACGCATTAAAACAATGAACACATCATAATCATAATTTTTGTTGCCTAATTTTTTGGGCAAAATATGTGAGCTCAAAAGGGAGAGAGAGAACGGGTGAGAGTGTATATATATATATATGTGTGTGTGTGTTTATGTGAGCATGTGCAGACAGATTCTTTAAGCATAATACATATGGCTTGAATTATACTGGCGTCGACTTAGGCTTAGCCTGGCAATTGCAAATCGAAATTCTTAGACTCAAACACTCAATTCAACTCGTCTTGACTCCGACAGACGGACGGACGTGGCCCTTGACGCAGACTTTGAGTGGCGCCTAACGCTTCAATTAACCTGCACAATGGAGACTTCTTTTGCATAAGCCCTGAACATTTGCACACAAAAGCATCTCGGAGCAAATATAAAAGCGTGCTTGCATTTCAGCAAACCCAGCGTCGACATCTAATTGAAGCGGACTCAAACGTGTTGCCGATGGACAGGTGAAAGAGATAAAGAATGCAAAGTATTCCATTATATATAAAGGCAGGCTTTTCTTAGTCTTGAAAAACTTTACATAGTATGTATTTTTCTAAACTATTAATTTTCCTATTTTATCTTTTTAATATGTTATTTTTTTTACCATTATTATTTATAAAATTAATTTTAAAAATATTTACTCTTTTATTAATGTATAATTAAACTAATGTATATATCCAAAAAAGAAAAAAAAAATTTTAGAATATATATATATTAAAATTAAATATATTAAAATATATAAATAAATATCTTTATATTTTCTTTTAATTAAATGTTTTTACAAATATTTATGTAATTAAATATATACTCATTTTTAATGAAATATTATTTTTGCTGGCAGTATTTGAATATAATAATTATTTAAAAATTTAATTGCACTAATTTTCATAAATTTTTTGTTTTTTTCAGTTCTTATTAATACATTTATTTTTATTTATTTTTTTTTTTTTATTTTCAATATAATTTATTTTATTTCATATATTTTTTATTTGCTTATATACACTACTTCATTTTTTCCAAGACCTTAATATTTAAAATAAACAGATTGTGTACATGGTATAAAAATATATATTTATTTTACTTTAAGTACCAACAGCCCTTGGCTAAGCTTCTATACAAATACTTATTCAACTTTTGTAGGAGGGTATATTATTCGACTTATAATGACGTCAACAGTGAGCTGTCATATAACAGCAATGACTTGCCTCATAGAGACACCCATCCACACACACACACACACACAAACAAACACTCCCCATGCACATATGTTTCAAGTGAGCATTCGTTTAACCTTTTTGGGCAGACATCCATGAAAAAGCAAACAAGCCAAAAGCGAAAGACCAAATAAAAATACATACATACATATAGTATATGTATAAAATCAAATATAAAAAAAAGGAGAAAAAACTCAGACAGCTCATGAATGCAGGCCATTGAATTGGCAGTTGGCACAAAAGACTAGACTCCCAAGTTTAGCCAAGCTTAAGAGCCGAATAAGTAAATATATGTGAGTATAGCAAAAAATATACATATATCAGTGGAACTTGCGGCCGAAGTTTATAGACGCTTAGTCGAAACTGATTATGTCAGGAAAATATCCAAGACTCAGGAGCTAAAGTTAATATTAGAGAGAAACGCCAAAAGAAAAATATTCAATATTACTTTAAAGTTAAACAATTGGAAAAAATTAAAAAAAAAAAATCTAAAAAAAACTTTTTAAGATTTATAATATTTATAATATAAATACACAATAGCCTAAGAGATGCCAAATACTCTCTAAGCAGTGTATATAAATTGCGAAAATAAATAAATCGCAGCGCAAATCAAGGTAAAAAGGCAATGCATTGGAGATGGAGGAAAATAAGAATAACAGTAAACAGAAAGAGAATTTGGGGCCTACGATGACGTCAAAACGTTATCTCGTTGGGCATTCATATTGAGTCAACTTCGAAGCACTTGCCACGATTTCTAAATCCATATCGTAAGACCACAATTTAAGCGAAAAGAAAATAAAAAAAAAAACAGATTTCAACTTCAAAGGCTAGCGTCACTTAAATTAAGGATGTGTGCCACGTGGCCAAGAGCCGACGGCTATTAGGCACAGCACAGGAGACTAAACTGTGCATAAAACTCAATCAAGTCGAGACAAGCAACAGCACAACAACAATTACACACACACACACACACACACACACACATAAACATATACGTGCACGCACAACCACTCACATCAATACCCTTTACATAGCTCAACGCTCCGGCATTGTCCCTGCAGGCATGTCAGGCTCTAATGCCAACTCTGACACGCTTCGTATTCCCGCAGCTCAGGCGCTTCGCTTATAAAATAGGAATCAGCGTGCATGGAGAGCAGCGAAACAAACAAAGGAAAAGAAAAAAAAGAAGGATATTCCTTGCCTTCGAGCCCGAAAATTCCACTGTTTTGGCAACACAAAGAAGGCGACCCAGCCAAATTGTATTAACCCGATGTATCGTGTGCGCCGTTGCATCTTTGGCCCCTTTGCTGCTCGGGGCCTCAGCGACGCCCCAACAAAGACAACAAACACAGCAACAACAACAACAACCAAATAAGAAAAACTAAAACACACACAAAATAAAAGACACAGGCAAAACAGGGCAAAACAAGTCAAATAACTTAAGTAAATGTGCGAAAGGCCTCAAGAGCTAAACTCGAGTGTCTGCGCGCCCTGAAGCACATGTTGTCATCCTTAAATAAACACGTTAGCTGCTGCGACTTAATCTCAATGTTCCGTTCATTTAGTGCAGCTGCTAAGAAATTGAAGAGTGCTCGAATCCTTATACAAGAAAGTTCTCTTGAAAGTGATTCTTGTTGAAATAAGAAATATGTAAATACATAAAATATGTTTGATTAAGGGATTGCAAGTAAAAAAAAAAAATTTAAGTTATTGCCACCAATATAGAAATA